GATGTCTCAAGCGAGGGCGCCGGGTTGGGATTCGTCACCGGATCCAGCGGATCCAGCGGATCCACCGGATCTGTCCGGAAACGGTGCCGGAGGCCGCTCTGGGCTCCTCTGGGCACCTCCCCCGGGGCCGGTTTTGTGAGGATGTCTCAAGCGAGGGCGCCGGTTTGGGATTCGTCGGCGGATCCACCGGATCCAGCGGATCTGTCCAGAAACGGTGCCGGAGGCCGCTCTGGGCTCCTCTGGGCACCTCCCCCGGGGCCGGTTTTGTGAGTATGTCTCAAGCGAGGGCGCCGGTTTGGGATTCGTCGGCGGATCCACCGGATCCACCGGATCCAGTGCGGCTCATCCGGTATCTGGCTCGTGAAACGTGCCGTGAGGCCTGCTCTGGGCTCCTTTTGGTTTGGTGATGGGGACCCCCCCGGCCTCTGGGGACCTGCCCGCCGTGGCCGGGGTTTTGTGAGGATGTCTCAAGCGAGGGTCGCCCGGTTGTTTGGGATTCGTCCACCGGATCCATCGATCCGAGCGGACCACCGATCTGTCCGAAAACGGTGCCGGAAGCCCCGCTCTGGGCTCCTCTGGGCACCTCCCCCCCGGGGCCGGTTGTTTGTAGGATTGTCCTCAAGCGGGGCGCCGGTGTGGTGGGATTCGTCCCGATTTCAGCGGATCCAGCGATCCCGCGGATCTGTCCGGAAACGGTGCCGGAGGCCCGCTCTGGGGGGGGGGGGTGCCTTTCCCCCTCTGGGCCCGTCCCCCGGGGCCAGGTTTTGTGAAGGTAGGTCTCAAAGCGAGGGCGCCGGTTTGGGATTCGTCACCGGATCCAGCGGATCCACCGGATCTGTCCGGAAACGGTGCCGGAGGCCGCTCTGGGCTCCTCTGGGCACCTCCCCCGGGCCGGTTTTGTGAGGATGTCTCAAGCGAGGGCGCCGGTTTGGGATTCGTCACCGGATCCAGCGGATCCAGCGGATCCTCCGGATCTGTCCGGAAACGGTGCCGGAGGCCGCTCTGGGCTCCTCTGGGCACCTCCCCCGGGGCCGGTTTTGTGAGGATGTCTCAAGCGTGGGCGCCGGTTTGGGATTCGTCACCGGATCCAGCGGATCCAGCGGATCCACCGGATCTGTCCGGAAACGGTGCCGGAGGCCGCTCTGGACTCGTGCTCTTCGCGCCGGGGGTGAGGATGACGTGAGTTCCACAGAAACTCCCTCAAAAAAGGAAACCTACCGATATTTAAAGGAAACCTACCGATATTGAGTCATTTCGTACACTGCACTTTCCCAGCGCTGTCTTGGCCTCACTCTTTTTCTGCGCACCGCCCATTGCTTAGGAGCACCATCGCTATTGCAAAGTATGGTTTTGACAATGTTTGAATCGCTTAAGTTTGCAATATTGCGATATGGCGCCACCTGCTTGTCCAATAAGATCTCAGATAGAGGCGTCGCCCCAGCCTTGTCCAGCACAATGGTATTGCTAACTCTTGAAAGGAAGGATGGCGGAATGCCACATACAAATCTGACACATCTACAATGAAACGCGTCCAGGCGTGCCTTGTCTTCTGCGAGCAGCCAAACGGTACCCAGTGAATATAGGAGCTTGCTCAGAACACAGCTTCTGTATATGTCATGTTTTCTCTTACGACCCACTGCAGCATGAGACCACACCTTGCTTAGATCTTTGAAAATCTGGCTCGCTTCCCCGAGTCGCCGCGAAACTTCCGACGTCCTTTTGCCATCACATGTGATAATACCTCCAAGGTAGACGGCTTCCCTGGCTGTTTCTATTGTTTCACTTCTGAATCCGGAAATGGATTCCTGAGTGGAGAGTTGTAGTTGTACAGTTTTCCCCAATTCAATTATAATACATGTGTCGCGCCTTCTTCCAGAATAGTTGTAAGCATGTGTTCCATATTGTTTGTGTGGTGCGATATCAGCAGCGTGTCGTCTGCGTACAAGATATCATAAGTGACTACATAATCAGGTTCTGGTTTCAAATTTAAGTTTGCGAATGCGTCGTTTGCACAATACTAAACAAATATGGTGATAGCGGGCACCCCTGGGCTATTCCAGCTTGTTGCCGCCGTTCCGAGGAGCATCCTGTGTGGTCCATGATCGTGAAAAATCTTGCGCTGTAAATCGACCTTACCATTTGCACCATTTCTACAGGCAGCCCAAAGCGTGTAAGGATTCACACGTACATCTGGCTTCTCTCGGTCGATAGTTTTGGCCAAATCCAACATCAGCAAGAGAACCCCACCATCGTCCTTTGAAAAGTTGCATCGATCATGCGCCGAACTAACAGGTGTGCGTCTGCCGTGCCGCGCTTTGGTTGGAAGCCATATGATTCGCTCCCGCACTTGAGGGCCCGTTTCAAAAGTAACGACGCCAAAAGTTTGTAGCCGACTGGAAATAATGATATCGGCTTGTAGTTCTCAGGTAATGCACATTCCCCTGTTTGAATCATGACACAATGTTGGCGCGCCTCCAGGAATCAGACATACCCTTTGCATTCCTGCATTGTTGACACATGTGCAGAAGGATATCGCAAGCGTGTTTGTTAGACATGAGCATATTCCAGGAATCTGGTGGTATGTCGGCTGGTCCTGCTGCTTTGCCTCCCTGTAGTCCGCGCAGAGCTTCTGCCAATTCTTCGGCTGTGGATGCTGCAGTATTCACTGGAAACGCATCGTCTAGCTTTTCGTTGCTTGTTTGCTGGACGTCGCCAAATGTGTACTGCCATTCCACTGTTTCAAAGTAGTCCGCCAAAACATCTGCGCGCTCAGCTGTGTCCGATAATGCCCCATCTGGTGTCTTGATGCTCGTGTGATTCACTACTTTGGGTTTTCGCAAGGACCGCACGGCTGACCAATTGGCTGACCCCACCAAGTCATCCAACCATTTTGCTCGGTCTCGCTTACCAGATTTCCGCACCAGTGCATTCAATCGTTTCTCTTGATAGGAATAGTGGTCTCCATTTTTCCGGCAATCGTTTCGCTGGGAAATCAATTCTAAAGTGTCTTGGCTTGTCCATGTTTGTTTTGTTCGTAAGTGACGCTCCAGGAGCGCAGTCGCCGCCGTCGAAAAAGCATGTTGTAGATTCCTCTCCAATTCGTCGACGTTGGAGGTTGGAGGCAAGCCCGTAGCAGCACGTACAAATATATTCGTAATGTCCGTTTCACTTCTGGATCTTTGAACGATTGTTTGTGCTAGCATCGTTTGCGCGATTTCGATTCCTTCTGAAAATGCATGATGGTTTCAAATAGTTCCAAGAAGTGGTGAAAATTCAAAGCCGTTCCCTTATCAACCCAGCAATCACTGATTAGAGATTTTTGCGTCTGGTGGCGCAAGACATGATCGATCTGCGAGAACTTCGAACAGGTAAGTTCCTGATGTTTCGAGTGGGTCCCGATACTCCGGCAGGTGACCTTCATGTCGTCAGGGTTGTCAAAGTATGTGTTAACTACTGCTAAATCGTGTTGGACAGCACTCCACCAGAAGATGTCGATTCGATATGTGGGTTCCTTCGGTCCCGGATTCGCCTGTACCGCCCAAGTTTCGACGAAACACATGGGGCCTTATGATCTCCTCCTCCCCAGCCCCGACGTACAAGAGTTTAGCATTGAAGTCGCCCGTGGCCATAGTAGCACTATATGTTGTTGCTGGCCGGATATAATTGTCCAGCTCGTCGTAGAATTACTTGCGGTCTGCGTAGTCATATTTGGAATGCGGTGCGTAGACGTTCACCAGGGTGAGCATGCCGCCGTTAATTTTGATTATCAATGTGGCGATGCGGTCGTTGCAAGCTTTGAAATGTAGGCCTCCTGGATGGGGTCGGAGTAGATGGGGTCGGAGGATCACGCTGCATCGCCGATGCATCGGCGATGCGGCTCGATGTGGGGACCGATTTGCTTCACGTCGACGTCGCCGATGCATCGCCGACGTCGACGAAGAATCGCTGGTGCATCGCCGGTGCATCGCCGATGCATCGCCGATGTATCGGCGATGCCGCGCGATTCTCCGACCCCACCTACTCCGACCCCATCTAGGAGGTCTCTATGAAAGCAACCACTGCTTGCATTGGGTTCGCGTTTTGAATAGAGCACTGTGGTCTCCAAGGTCCTCCTGTCTCCTCCTCCTCACGTATCCTGCCTTCTGCCTTCTTGCCTCCATTGTTCGTACCTTTCCTAATGGGGGGCTGCGCGAACTGTGCAACAGTCTCAACTCTCGTGAGCTCCTGGGGGGTCCAGCGGAGTCGGGGGCCACGCGGACCCATTGGTGACCTCGCTTATCCCTGGGTGGCTGCGAACCGCGCAACTGTCGCCACTTTCGTGGATTCCGGGTAGATCTAGCGGAGTCAGATGCCACGCGGACCCATTTGGGGCTTCGTTGTTCATAGGTGGTTGCGAACCGCGCAATTGCTTTCATGGGCTCCTGGGAGATCCAGCAGAGTCGGGGGCCACGCGGACCCAGGTGGGACCTCGCTTCTCCTTGGGTGGCTGCGAGTTGAGCAACTGTCACCACTTCTGTGGGACCCATTTGGGACCTCGCTGCTCCCTAGGTGGCTGCAAACCGCGCAACGCGGATCCATTTGGGACCTCGTTGTTCTGTAGGTGGTTGCGAATTGCACAATTGTCACCCCTCTTGTGGGCTTCTGGGAGGTCCAGCGGAGTCGGGGGCCATGCGAACTCATTCGGGACCTCGTTGTTCCTTGGGCGGCCGCGAACCGCGCAACTGTCACCACTTTGTTGAGCTCCTGGGAGGCACGGCGGAGGTGAGGCGGTGCAGATTGATTTGAGACCTCGCTGCTCCTTGGGGTGGCTTCGAGCTGCGCGACTGTCGCCACTTTCGTGGGCCCCTGGGAGGCACGGCGGAGGTGAGGGCAGAGCAGATCTTTCTTTTGACTGGCGCTGTGCTTTTTTGCTTGCAGGGCTGGTTCAGATATTCACCTCGCGTGGAGCGGATTTCGGTGGTCGTTTGATGTGTTCCGTTGTGGTCGGGGGTCGGGCCTTGGCCCAAGCGACCGCAGCCAAGAGCCGCGCCAGCGGCCCTGTCGGCGCCGGCGCTGGCGGATGGACGCGGCCGCCGCCGCCGCGGAGGGTGCCGAGCCCGTGCCAGCGGAAGGCGCCGCCGCTGGCGGCGGTGCCATGGCCGCACAAGGAGAGGAGGAGTCGGACGGGGACGAGGAGGGCGAGGGCAAAGACGAGGGCGAGGAGCAGAAGCGAGGGGCAGGGAGGAGGGGCAGGGAGGAGGGGCAGGAGGAGGGCAGCAGCGAGCGGCAGCAGCAGGACGAGGAGCTCGGGCCCCTCCGCTCCCCGAGCCTCGTCCTCTCGTCCTCGCCCCCTCCCTGGCCTCAGGCTCACCGTCCGCGGCGGAGCTGAAGGCGGAGGGCAATGCCGCGTACCAGCGCCAGGACGTCCAGGCGGCCGTCGGCTTCTGGAATGCCGCCCTCCGCGAGCACGTCGAGGGCCTCGGCCGCGGCGGCGGCCCGCCGTCCCTGTCGCAGGAGTCCCGGGCGCTGGAGCTCTCCCTGTACCTCAACCTGGCGCAGGGCTACCTCAAGCTCGGGGACCCCGGCAAGGCCCTGCGCGCCTGCCAGGTCGCCGCGGGGGAGGACCCGGGCAACGCCAAGGCGCACTTCCGCGCGGCCGAGGCCTGCCTGGCCCTCTCGCGCCCCGGCGAGGCGGAGCGCTGGCTGGCCCCGGTCGCGGACGCGCAGGGCAGCGGCAGCGAGGCGGCCGCGCTGCTCCGGCGGGTGAGGGCGGGCCGGGCCGCGGAGGCCAAGAGGGAGAGGGAGGTGGCGAAGAGGATGGCGGCCGGGGCGCTCGGCTTCTCGGAGGGCCGCGAGGCGTCGGAGGGCCCGGGGGGCGCCGTCGCGGGCGCCCTCCTGCAGGACCCCGCGAGCATGGCGTGCGGCGCCCACGTCGCCGAGGCCGCGGCGCGGGCCGCCCAGGCGCGCGAGACCCGGCTGCACGCCGCGGCGGACCCACTGCCGGAGCCGAGGGTGGACGACCTGGACGCGTTCCGAGCAAAGGTCCTCGCCAGGTCGCGCAGGATGAACAGCTCGATGCAGCGGAGCCTCAGGGGGCGGGACAGGGCGCAGGGCTCCCTCAGACTGGAGTGGCTGCGCAGCGGCCAGGACGGCGCGGCGCTGGAGAGCTTCGCCTCGCCCCTGCAGGCCGAGCTCCGCGCCATCGCGGCGGAGGGGCAGGCTGCGGCCGAGGCCGAGGCCGAGGCCGCGGAGCGAGCCGGGGTGTCCTCGGCGGAGGGGGCGTCGGGAGCCTCCAGCGCCAGCGCCGGCGCGACCGATGGAGACGGTCCGCGGAGGATGGACGAGATGGACTGAGCACCCTTTGGAGCTCGGCGGTGTGTGGCTGGCCTCCCTCGTGGGCGCCTGACCGGGGGCCAGGGGGGAAAGGAGCGATCCTGCGGCACGGTCGAAAACGGCGATGGCCGAAGTCCTGTCATGACATCGGCCTCTGCCCATATCTCTTTTTCTCTTTCTCTCTCTCTCTCTCTCTTTCTCTCTTTCTCTCTTTCTCTTTCTCTCTCTCTCTCTCTGCCTCTCTCTCTCTCTCTCTCTCTCTCCCTCTCTCTCTATATATATATATATAGAGAGAGAGAGAGAGAGAGAGAGAGAGAGAGAAAGAGAGATCTTATACATATAACGGCGCACCGGGTCCGGGGGCCCGGGGCCGGGACCCCGACCACAAATGTGGGCCCCGGGGGGCCCGGAGGCTCGTCGGACCGGGGGGCCGGGGACGCCGTGTCCCGACCTGTCCCACCACGGCTTCGGACGCGCTCCGATGCTCCCAAGAATTTTTGGCCCCTTTTCCAAGACGCCTGTCATTGACACCAAGAAGGTCCCAGAAGCCTCCCAATGCTCTCCGAGAGGCCAGCCCAAGAGAGGTGCCCAAGAAGCAAAAATCGTGCCATTCCTATGGGAATACGTATATTTGTCGCATGTTCGCCTCTTGGGCTTTCACCGCGTCCAAGACGGCCCAAGAGGCGCCCAAGACGGTCTACGAGGCCTCCGGGAGCGCTCCAAGGCTGCGCACGAGTGGCCCAGGACGGCCCCAAGACAGCCGAAGAGAGCCCCAAGACGAGTTCGAGAGGGGTCCCAGACGGAGAAAGCCAACCTCGAATTCCGAGCTTCCGGCCCAAGAGGCTCCAGGAGGCGCCAAAATGCCGCCAAGAGGCGCCAAAAGGCTCCCAAAAGCACCCCAAGACGTTCCGAGAGGCACCCCAAGAGAGGTCCAAGAAACACAAATCGTGCCATTCCTGTGGGAAAACGTATATTTTTCGCATGTTCGCATCTTGGGCTTTCACCGCGTCCAAGACGGCCCAAGAGGCCTACAAGACGGCCTAGGAGGCCTCTGGGAGCGCTCCAAGGCTGCGCACGAGTGGCTCGACAGGACGGCCCCAAGACGGCCCAAGAGAACCCCAAGACGACTTAGAGGGGTCCCAGAAGGAGAAAGCCACTCTCGAATTCCGAGCTTCCGGCCCAACATATCCCAGGAGGCGCCAAAACGCCGCTGGAGGGCTGAAGGCGCCAAAAGTCTTCAAAATCTACCTGAAAACACCCGAGAGGCACCCCAAGAGAGGGGTCCAAGAAACAAAAATCGGGGGCCATGTCCTACGGGAAACGATATTTTTCGCATGTTCGCATCTTGGGTTTTCACCGCGTCCAAGACGGCCCAAGAGGCCTCCAAGACCGCCCCAATACGGCCCAAGAAGCTTCCAAAAGGGCCCCAGGACAGCCCAAGAGGGCCCCAAGACGGCCCAAGAGGCGCCCAAGATGGCCCAAGAGGGCCCCAAGACGGGCCCAAGAGGGGGCCCAGAGGGGGACCACGAACCGCAAGCTCGAGCCTTCCGCCCCAAGAGGCCGCCAGGAGGCCCCAAGGAGGCCCCTCAAGAGGCCCCAGGAGACCCCCAAGAGGCCCAAAGGAGGCCCCGAGAAGCCCCAAATCGGCCCCCAAAATGCTTCGAACCTGCTTCCAGGAGGCCCCCGACAGGTTCAGAGGCTCCCGAGAAGCTACGTCAAACTCCCAGCGAGCGGCCGGACGAGGCCCCCCACAAAATCACAAGAGGGTTCCAGTATTTGTATCCTTCAGCGCTCTCTGGCCTTCTTCCCCCTGCCCCGTTCCCTGCGACTTTCGTTGACTCAAGCTCGCCTCCTAGCTAGAACCTAAGCGCGCGCGAAGCGCGCGCGTGGTTCTAGTTCTATCTATATCAACAAGGCCAACAGCAGCAACACCAACAACACCAACAAACAACATCAAAAACACCAACAACACCGCCAACACCACAACATTAAATCCCACTCAAGGCAGAGCCCAGCTTTGAAAAGGAACCGTCCGTGCCTACGATGAGGGGCGAATCATTTTGGCGGTGCGGGTGCTAAGATAACGCGCCGTGCGTGGCGCGGGCGATATCCTCGGATGCACACTACCCCACACGACGGCCGGGAAACAACAAGTTTTCAATAGGGGTGGTAATAATAATCGTATAGGACAAGGATGATGAAGAACAGGACAAGGATGATGAAGAACATGAGCAAAAAAAGGAGGGAGGGAGGGAAGAAGCAGGGGAGCCCGTCTGTGTTTTGCATGTTTACCTTTCTTATTATAGTTACTCTGATTCGCATTCCCATTCTTGTTCTTACCATTATTAGTTTCATTCTTATTCGTAGTATTATTGTTGTTATTATTGTACTTCTTGTCATGTTAGACAAGCTGTCGTACTTATTTTGTTCGGGTGCGGTGCTAAGATAACGCGCCGTGCGTGGCGCGGGCGATATCCTCGGATGCACTACCCCACACGACGGCCGGGAGCAAATAATTGTTCAGCAGGGGTGGTAATACAAATCGTATGGTACAAGGATAACGAAGATAATGCGATTTGATTTCTTAGCATTCGCATTATTATTTCTGTTTTTATTAGTCGTATCAGTTTTTGATTATGGTTAAGATTCTTAGCATTCTTAGCATGGTGTTTCGTATTCGGCCTCTGGTTATGATTTTGAGTATTATTATTGTTACTCTTATTCGTACCCTTGTTATTATTATTACTCGTACTCTCATCGTTCTGTCTTTTGTTATTAGTTGCCGTAGTATGTTTAGCATTAGTACTCTTATTATCATTGTTCTTATTATGTGCCTTGTTCCTATCATAGTGCTGTTTATTATTGTGATTCGGATTATGATGAGTATTGTTACTATTAGTAGGATGCTCTCATCCTTACTCTTAGTTTTATTACTTTTATCATTATTCGCGGTCGCATTCTTATTATTCGTCCAATTTCACTGGGGAGACCAACCGACCCGGGGAGCGGGAATATGTATTGTCGTTCCATCTGCGCGGTGCTAATCATATCGTTCGGCGAAAACCGACCCTCATTATTACTGAATTGCGGTGCAGTGCTAATGATAACCCCGGGGGGTCCTTAATGGCTTCTTGTGGTTATAGTGCAACCACTGCATGATACGCAACGATGAGATGCCCCGACCTGTCATCAATATGTGGAGCGTTGCAGTTATCCTAACGTGTTTTTCTGCGGAGCAGGACTGGGAAGGGTCGCCTTAACCGTTGGGGCTCAAGGCGGAGCGGGGGGAGCGGTCCGCGGAAGCCTTGGATGTGGCCCTGGTGGGTGCTCGGGGCGACGCGGGACGTGACGGTGGCTTACCTGCAACGCTGCCAGCCCGCGCCAGAGTGCCCGAGGTGCTCCAGGAGGCCTGCGAGACTCCCGCGGCCGCCGCCGCGACCTGCCCTGCCTGCCCCACCTGGGAGGGCCCGGCGGAGGTGGAGCCCTGTGACACGTGGGGTGTTTTCGTGCGTGGCGCGTGGGCCGGGGGAGCGATTGGCTGCTGCTCTGGCGTGGTGCTCGCAGAGGTCGTGAGCTATGCAGTGGGGATGGCTGGGGTACTGGTGCACCAACGGTGGGTTTCAGGCCGCATGGCGCTATCGGCTTCTGAGTTTGTCGGGGCGACGCCCAACGGCGACACTCACATCGTGATGTACGACGAGGGGGAAAACGATGACGTGGACCTGGTTCGGTGGAGCGCCGTTTGGAACTGTGTGCCTCGCGGGGTGAATCCTGCTCGTGTGCATCGGTTCGCCGTGGAGCCATCGGCGGCGAAGAAGCAGGTGTTCCTTCGCGACGCGGAGCTCCTCGCCTTCCAGCGCTGCCAGCAGATCGCGGGCCAGATGGGTCGCGTCGATCTGCTCACCGCCGCGGGCTTCGTGGCGCTGGTGCCAGGCGGGCACGGCGCCGTCGCAGGAACTGCGGTCGCGGCCGCGCCTGGGCCTGTGGCGGGGCCTCTGCGGGGCGTGCTGCAAGGAGCGGCGGCGGCGGCGCAGGTGGTGGCCGACGGCGGAGCTCGCTGGCGCGCGGCCCAGTCGCTGGGGGACGTTCGGTTCGGCGACGAGGTTCCTGGGCACATGCCGTCATTTGCCGTGGTCCACGGGCGTGACTTTCACATCCTGGCGGACGGCACTGCGCTGTTCCCTGAGGAGGTTGCGCCCGCGGACTTGGAGGCCTTCGAGGGCCGCGCGGTGGCAGCGGGCGCTCGTGCGATGCCGATGCTGCGTGCTGGTGCCAGTCGCGAGATCGCGTGGGCAGCCGTGGCCGCTCGCGTGCGCGAGGAAGACTTCGGGCGCGACTGGCTGGTAGCAGGGGCGGGGGTCGACGGCCTCGCGATCGGTTTCGCTCGGTGGCCAAGCTCGAGCCGACGCAGTGGGGCGTGCAGGAGCATCACCAGCGCACGCAGTACATTCGTCTCCAGCTGTTTTCGGACCAGTGCGACGGCGCCAACTTGCAGGCGCGCGAGGCCATCTTTCGCAGGATGCAGACGATGGAGTGCGTGTGCTCGGAGAAGGTGCGCGAGCAAGAGGGGGCCAATCAGAGTGGGAGGCTTTCGATCGAGGAGCAGACGCACTTCTCTGGGCCCACGCGCGCCTGCATTCGAGTCTCTGATGGCATGCCCAGACCTGCTCGAACACATTCGAAAGAAAGTTGAGCGCGAAGCCGCCCTGGCCAGGACCCCACGCAAGGCTCGCGAATAGGAGAGGTTCTCAAGAATGGCAAGAAGGACGGCAAAGGTTGACGGCGCGATGGGGCACCCCCTCCGCGCCCCCCGCCCGACAGTCGAGCGGGGGGCGCTTCTGCATGATGAGTTACATCGGTCTCCATATGGGGGTGACGAGTCCTCTCGGGATGTTGCTCGGAACCCTTTGCCTCTGCCACTTCCGCCGGTCGCGGCCGATCGCCGCGCTGCTTGCGGGGGCGGTTTGTCTCGCGGGTGCCAGCAACGAGCGCTGCGTCGCCATGCTCGGGAACTGGATGTCCGTCGGGCGGTTGCCGCACTGAATGCCCCGCGCAACTCTCCTGGCGGCGTGCCGGGCGACGCGGGACAGGTCTCGGCCGGGCCGCTGTCGTTGGCGCGGCGCGGCATCGCAAGGGGGCGCGCGCGCGAGCGCGTCTCCGCGCTTGGCCCTCCACCTGCTGGCGTCGACGCCCCAGAAGCTCCGCGGAGGCTTCGGGCGCCCAGTTTCTACGGCTCGGGCGTGGGCGTGAACGTGGGAGACTACAATCCCGACTTGCTCTCACTACCGGCCGCGGGGGGCCACGCGGCGCCCCTCGCGGCGCTCCGGGGCGCAGGCGGGCGCAGGCGCGTCGCGGAGTTCGTCTGCGATAGTGTGCTACCTGCGGGACTGGCGCCGGAGACGAAAAGAACGCGCGGCGCGAGGGCGCCCAACTCCGACCCCTCGCTTCGCCAACCACGTGCTTGGAGCGATTTCGACGCGCGTCTGCGTCACTGCGGGCTCGTTGACTTTGCCGATGACCGCGGATGGGGGTCCGTGGTTCTTCTGCGCGCTGAGAAAGGACAGTGGGTCGTTATTATTAATTTGCGATTGTCGTCACAGCAATGTTTGGATTGCCGAGCCTGACAACGCCACTTCGCGCACGGGCGAGACCCTCGGGACCCTGGGGGTGGGGGGGGGGCGGGGGGGCGCGTTATATATCTCTGTGGCTGATCTGTCGAACGCGTCCTATCACCTCAGTTGCCCGCTGAGCTCCGGGACCTCTTCGCCGCGCGCCGCGTGCGCGCGAGGGAGATAGACCTCGCGGAGCTGGGGGGCCAGCCCATCCGCGGCGGGGCCTGGGTGCATCCGCGGCTTCGCTTTTCCCGACGGGGTGGACTTGGGCTCTTTGGTGGCGCCGACGAATTCACGAGAGGATGGTTGGGAGATGTGGCGGGCGCGCCGAGGATCGCCTGCAGGGTCGTCCCGTCGCCCCACCGCTACCGGGCGCCTGTCACCAGGAGTGCGTCGATAACTTTGTCGCCATATCCACGGTCGCCTCGAAAGTTCACTTTCTTGCGCGCGCCGTCGTCGAAGGTTTGAGGGGGGCTGGGCTCGTCGCGACTGCCGATGTCGACAGGCCGAGTGGCGACGCCTCTGGATCGGACGGTCATGGGATGGGACATTGGCTGTCGGGCCGTTGCGCTGAGGCCCGCGCGGGCCCGAGTCTGGAGAGATCGCCTGTGCATTCGCGTGATCCTCCGTCGCGGTCGTGTCTCTGGGAGGACCCTCGAGAGGCTCGTGGGCCACGTGGGGTTCATCGGCCTGATTCGCAGAAAGACCCTGTCGGTGTTCGACACGCTGTTCGCGTTCATCCGCCGCCCCAACGACGAAGGGGCCCCGCCGTGGGCCAGCGCGATCAAGGAGTTCACCATCTGGTGCAGGATCTCGCCGCTGCTGTGGCGCAACCTGAAGGCCTCCTGGTGGCCCGCGCTCCGCGGCGTGGACGCCTCCCCCATTGGTCTTGGGGCCTCCTCGTCTGCGGCATTACCTGAGGGGGCGCGGGGTTTTGGGGGGCGCTGCGAGCGGCGGCGCTTCTATCGAGGCGCGCGTCTTCCTCCGCGTCTTCAGGCCGATGCTGCTGCTGCCGTGCCTGGCGACCCGGAGGTGCAGTGGCTGCCTGGGGCGCATGGCAACGGATCTGGAGGCATTTGGGCTTGGGCTCTGGTCTTGGTTGCTCTCGCGCGGCCGTCTTTCGGGAGGAACCTTTGAAGCTGCTGAAGCGTGACTGGAGGGTTGTGGGCCCCTACAAGTGGGGCTCCGAGGAGCCCATGCCCGTCTTGGAAGGGCGGGCAATCTTGTGCGCCTTGCGGCGCGCCCTGAGGAACGTTCGCAACTTTGGGCGGTGGATCGCCGTCTTGGGGGGCGCTCCGGCGGCCGCCTCTGCGGTGTCGAAGGGGCCCTCGGACTCGAGGGCGGTGCTACGTGTTGCGCAGTCTGTTGATGCTCTTTGTCTCGCCACGGGTTGCGCGCTACGCTGCCGGTGGCTTCCTTCGGAGTGGACCGCGGCCGATGGCCCCTCGAGAGGCAGCGCAAGGCCCTCCCTACCGCGGCTACTCTCGCTTTCGAAGCCCCACGAGGTTGAATGGTTTCAATCGAGCGGGCTTGCCGCGGGCGCGGCCTCCGCCCCCGAGACCGACGCCGCCGATGCTGTTGCGGAGCGCGGCGTCGCGCGACTGCCGCGGGGGCGGATCGGCTTCGAGGCCGCGCGCGGCGGGCGGCCTGACGCAGACGCCTGCCGTGGGGATCCCTCTCTCGTCGCAGGCGTGTCCTTCGCGGGCAGCTCCCGGTGGCCACTTGGCGGCGGCGCCTCGGGCGCCGCGGGCGGCTGCGCGGCCGCCGCCGCCGAGCGGCGCCAGGGCTGCCCGAGCCGAGAAGGGCGCACGCGCGCGCTCTTGCGAAATCGTAAGGACACCAGAAAGAATACCATAAGTTTTTCAACATGTTCAAACACACACACACACACACACACACACACACACACACGCACGCACGCACGCACGCACGCACGCACGCACACACACACATTTATATATATATATATATACACACATATACATACATGCATACATACATACATACATATACAACCAAACGGGCTTCGCGCGCGCATGTCGAAATCGTTCGATCGCCCTTGCGCGCGTGCCGTCGCGAGGATCCTCTGCGAAAAAACGGGACGAAGTGCACACGCGCGCGCGCGTCGTCGCACGCGCATGCCGGAATCTTACAACAACCTTACGTTTCGGAGGGTTTTTAAAGGAACAATGCCCAACACGCATACAAAAACACGGGGTTTTAGAAACACGGATGTTCAACAAAAGCGTGCGCGCGCGCTCATCGTCGTCGTCGTCCTCCTCCTCCTCCTTCCTCCCTCGTCGTCGTCGTCGCCGTCGTCGTCCGCTGTCTTTCCTCGTCGTCGTCGTCCTCTTTAGCGTCGTCGTCGTTTCCGTCGTCGTTGTCGCCGTGGTCGTCCTTCCTCCTCCCTCGTCGTCGTCGTCGGCGTCGTCGTCGGTGTCTCGTCGTCGTCCCTCCTATTTCGTCGCCGTCGTCGTCGTCGTCTTCCCTCCTCCCTCGTCGATGTCGTCGTCGGCGTCGCCGTCCTCCCTCCTCCCTCGTCGTTGTCGTCGTTGTCGCCGTCGTCGTCCTCCGACCTCCCTCGTCGTCGACGTCGGCGACGTCGTCGTCGTCGTCTTCGTCGTCGGCGTCGTCGTCGTCGGCGTCGACGCCATGGTCGTCGTCGTCGTCGTAGTCGTCGTCGTAGTCGTCGCCGTCGTCGTCGTCGGCGTCGTTATCGTCGTCGCTGTCGTCGGCGTCGGCGTCGTCGTCGGCGTCGTCGTCGTCGTCCTTGTCGTCGTCGTCGAAATCGTCGGAGATGTCGTCGTTGTCGCCGTCGTCGTCCTCCGTCCTCCATCGTCGTCGGCGTCGGTGACGTCGTCGTCGTCTTCGTCGTCGTCGTCGGCGTCGTCGTCGTCGGCGTCGACGCCATGGTCGTCGTCGTCGTCGTAGTCGTCGTCGTAGTCGTCGCCGTCGTCGTCGTCGGCGTCGTTATCGTCGTCGCTGTCGTCGGCGTCGGCGTCGTCGTCGGCGTCGTCGTCGTCCTTGTCGTCGTCGTCGTCGAAATCGTTGGAGATGTCGTCGGTGTCGTCGTAGTCGTCGACGGCGTCGTCGTCGTGGTCGTTGTCGTTGTCGTCGTCGGCGTCGCTGTCGTTGCCACGTGCCACTTGGTACCCACCGCCACGGTCTTAAAAAGTCTTGCGACCAAGTTGCGGGTGGGAGGGTGGGATGTTTGCACGAGCAGGTGGAGAGGACAGCTTCAAGACAGTCAAATTGAACTGCACCGGATAGATTCTCCCGTTTTTGTTTAAATGTTATCCCCACCACTAACCCCGAGATTACCACTCCTCCCTGGGGTACTGCAATTTACATATGATTCTACCCCGTTGTTCATTGTCCATATGAATTCATACCATCCCAGCTAGTCCCGGTATCGCCCCCCCTCATCCCTGACAAATAATACCATGCGGTGCACATGCGTTGATCTAAGATGAGCTGAGTGCACGCCACGATTCCTTTTTGGAAATGTTGCCATTCAGGCCACATGCGCGCACGCAAGACGAAATCCTTCCAAAACCTTTTTGTTTTCGTTGCGATTTCAACGTAAGCATCTCAAAAGCCAAATCGTTTTGCAACAACAAGTTTTCAACAGTTCATCCCGCGCGCTCTTGCGGGTTCCTAGAAAAAGCCTGTTTTTGTTCAGCTGTGCTGTCCCAGGAAGCCATCGCGCGCGCATGTCGCACATGATTATTCCGATGCCCTCGCGCGCTTGCCAGTTCGGTGAGATTTGCGGACGAGCTCCACGCTGTCGGGCGAAGGGGATTATGCACATGCACCGGTCCTGGCAAGGCCTATCGTTGACCCAGGATCGGTGCATACACCTTCCTGGCCAAGGCAGGAGGGCGTATGCACCGATCCCGGGCTCAGGATGGGCCTGGCCAGAATCGGTGTATGTGCATAGTTCTCTTTCCTCTGCGCTGCAGTTGCAGTCGCGATCTTACGAGATTCTGCCGACCAAGATGCGGGTGGGCGCGTGGGAAGCTTGCACGAGCGTGGGCGCTGGTCACGCGCGGTGCAGCGCGGTCCTACTGCACCGCATAGCTTGCTGTCGCCGTCATGGCTCGGCACGGCTCGACCTGTGATGGGGCGACGAAATCTATACATATCCACTGCTCCCTGGCCAGGCCCATCCTCAACCCCGCAGCGGTGCATACGCCACGCCCTCCTGGCTTGGCCAGGAGGGCGCATACACAGCTCCTGGGTTCAAGATGGGCATGGTCAGGGAGCAGTGGATATGTATAGATTTCGTCGCCCGATGTGAGGGCCCATGGGGCGGCGTTCTCGGGGCCGGGCTCGGTGCCCTTCTTCTTGGCAAGCTCGTGCATCTTCGCCTTGAAGCTCGGCACGAGCCACAAGAGGTTCGCGGGCGGCTTTTCCGTGATTCTCGGAGATGTCGTAGAGGCGATCGTCATTCTCGCAGTGGGTCTTGTAAAACAACGCCACCGCCATCTCGATGCGCCTCTTGTCCTTCTCGTTGAAGATGTGCCCGTGTTCGATGCTCTTGAGAGACCGATGCTCAGCGAAAGAGCGCCTGTGGTGAAAGCGCTGCAGCGCCAGGATCCCCGGGGGAGCGCGAAGACAGCCGCGCGGCCTTAGCGGCGCGGAGCGAGGCGCCGGGTGCTCGACCCGGAGGAGGTGCAGGTTGGGTGTTGCGTTATCGGATATCGTGCGGTCGCTATCCAATTCTCGCCGATCGACTTCATCGATCAGCATAATTGGTCATCGCTATCGAATTTCATGCCTCTGTCGGTGGCGATCGAATTCAAACTTCTCTTGTTTGCGCTACCCACCCTGTCGAGGAAAAAAAACGCCATAAACACATATTTTTGGCGCTACGAGCAGATTTCTTGGATTCGCGTTGGGGGGCGGCGCTGGAGGCGCCGCGGGGGGGCCCAACGCGGATCCAAGAAATCCGTGCGGAACGCCGAAAGTTTATGTTTATGGCGTTTTTGTTTCGATGTGTTGGGGCTGGGCTTATGATGTTCCCACAGGCTTCAGATGCGATGGAGAGCGCGATTTTCCCACACCAAAAATCAACGGAGGCACGGCTTTCAAGCAGGTGGCCTCCGTCTGATTGTCGCTACTTATGTGGACAATCTATTATTCGCGGGCTCGTTGCTCAAAGGGGCAATCGCGATCCTGGAAGATTTCGAGGCCCATTTACAATCAGTCTTGGATCTTCACATCAAGCCTTCCAGTACATCGTGCCTCGTGCCACGGGGCAGAACAGAGGCACCGCGCAATTTGGAAAAGTGGCCGCTCAGCGCAGAGTTTCATGCCTTGGGTCACACGCTCCAGGACAACGGCTCCACCCAGGCGTGCTGGCAGCGGACGTCCAGGTCAATGTGGAAAGCATACTTCGGGAATTGCGCTTCCAAGGTCGCCTCCAGGATGCCGGCGGCTCTTCGGTACACCTGTATGGACCGATTTGTGTTGCCTATTATGCAGCATCGCGACACACGGTGGCCACCTACAGCGTTGAGACAAATTCAAATCGACACAGTGCAAAGGAAAATGGTCAGCTCCATTCTGCGTCTCTGTCAGCGTGCCCATGAGGGTTCACTTGAGTACGTACGGCGAAGGAACAGGCAGGCTACGACCATCATGGGCCAGAGAGGAAGCTGGAGTACAAAGCATTGCAAGCGAGTGTTAGCCTGGGGTGAGCATCTAGCCCGGCCCCGACATGGCAACTCATGGGCCGCAGTCCTCCTAAAGTTTCGAGACAGCAGGTGGTTTGAGACACAGCGACTGCTCAACAGCTCTGGTTCCGAGAGCCGCATTTGTACTCGTGCCGCCCGTGGTTTCGTCGCCAGGCGCTGGCAGGACGGCGTCAAGATAGCAGCACAGAAGTGAGCTCGTTTTCTGTTTATTGTCCGTGGTAGTCTCCCCCCCCTTTGTTTGCGTCCTTCTTTTGTCTCCCCCTCCCCCTCCTCCCTCTCTTGCTTGCAAAGCCCGTGGGGCAAACATTGTGTGAACGCCCCGGCGCGGTCCCATGAGGGGCCGAGGGGCAAACATTGTGTGAACGCCCCGGCGAGGTCAGATGGTAGTTCCCGCTACTGCTTAGCAGAGCACGGTTTAAGAATTCTTGTGTACGCGTGTGACAGTGGCGAACGCGTCGCTCGTCGCAATATGTGAGCTCAGCATAGCGTAGCGTGCGAGTCTTTGGGCTGATGCCGCCCCAACTGAACTGAACTGAACTGAGCGGAATTCCCGGGGCCTCAGGGTTGGGATTGTTCTGGCAGGCTTCCTGTGGACTAGCCTCCACTGCATCGTGCACCCCTCTCATACTGGCTGACCGTGCATC